CATCTCTACCGTGGAATGACTCCGACATCTGTTCTTCGTCGACCAGGTCCCGGGACCTTGTTCGTCGTACTTTCCTGCGCTGCGCGGCGCGGCGCTGCGCGCGGTTCCCGAAACCGAAGTCGGTTCCGTCGGAGTGGGGACGGTGTCACCCACTCGAAGCCAGGAAGGCTTGAGCAAGCGAGCTTTTTTCGAGCGCTGCTTTGGCCGAGATGGGATGGGAGCAGGTGCTGGTCGGGGTCACACCAAAACATCTATTAGAAACGTCTATTATAGAAACATATAATTATAGAAACCACAGGAAACCACTCCTCCTAGAAGGGATTCATGAATTGACGATCTGCGGTGCCTGACAAGGGATTTTTCTCAATGGACCATGGAGCCAAGAGGAGCGGGAATGACGCCCAGTCTATCTCATCAAGATGTTGATCCGACCAGAAGGCCTACACTCCCGAGTGAACTCACATGGACCCTGGCCCCCTGGAAGAGTGTAGGCTCCTCTACCAATCAACTTGGTGACCTCAGGGTCCATGTGGGTTGTCTTCCAGGGAGCAGGTCGGAGACCAGTCTTGAAGTTTGCTGTGACCAGCTCGGATCATGCAGACCACCATGCTTTCGGCCGACCGTCCAGCACGGTCCGGTGAGGGTTGATGTGGATGGGGGTCGCACATGAGTGGGTCGATGTGGATGTGTTGCACAACGGTTGATGGGGCGGAGAGAAACACGTTTATTCCGTGGACTCATGGAAGTGGGAAAACCCCCGTGTTTGTAGAGAGAAATGGATGAATGGGTCATGTAGGGGCCATGCTCATCCATGTTCCAGTTCCATGATCTTCCATCAATATGAGTGGTGCAAGAATCATTATACACCTTACAGCCGTGTTTTCAGGGTTCACCTTCTTGACAGGGACTTTGGGTTGGTTGGAGTCCAGCTGATGGGCCACTCGAAAAGAAGAGCCTCTTCTAGAAATCCGCCATGCGTCTCTTCAGGTTCATGTTCTCTTCACGAGGAAGATGTGGAGGATTCCTATATGGTCCAGAGCCATGTCATGTGATAGTCGGGGAACTCTTACAAGTCCACCCTGGCAAATCGAGCAGATGAAAGAGGCAGATTTCGCTGGCACAACAACTGCAACCATGTGTTTGTTTTGCGAACAAGTCCTGTCACAACCTTTGTGTGCCTCTGACGAACCCTTGATGAATTTCCAAGACGAACCCCCCTGCGGCTACTACAGGTATTTGCATGACGTCATGCCAGGGTATTCATAACGGCGACCGGTTCGATCGTTGGGACGCCCACCCGCTCCCGGTCTCCGGAACAACGGGGATGTTCATCTTGCGAATGATGGCATATCAGTAATCGTACATGGCACTGAACACAAAACGTAAAAACGAAGACGTCTACTATTTCATTAATGTTATACGTATTTTTGTGCGGATTCCAACGATCCAGTCCCATTCATTTACAAACATCTATACTGTACTTCCTTGTTCCCAATGGAAACATGGCCAATCCTGATGGTTCACCAGCAAGTTCACCCGCCTTTTCTCCATGGAGGACATGGCTTCGTGGTGCTGAAGCACCCGACGACGATGAGCGCCCAGGACTGGCTGAGTAGCAGCGCCACGCCGACCAGCGTGAACGTCGCCACGGAGGAAGAGATGGCGGTGAGGAAGATCTATGCCAAGGAGACAGACGAGATGAAACGGAAATCAGCAAGCAAAAAAAACACAGGGGGAGTATGAAAATAGGGAGACCTCCCCAGTTCGAACCCCTGGAAGAAGAAAAATCAATGAAACTCCAATTCAATTTTAGAATTTGAGAATGCTTTTCTAGGGCGTACGGCACAAGAGATGTTTTGAAGAAGCTGGAAGAGAGAAAGCTTGCCGAGTGAAGCCAGGCGCCCTACCACGGGGAGCAGATTGACCAATCCCAGGGGTGGCTGACCCGAGGTGTTCCAATCGCACGTAGCCTCCGACTCACGTTCCGTGGATCAATGGCCTCCCAGTGCCCCAGTCGTTTTCCTTTTGGTGCCCCGCTGGCGCGAAAGCCATTCGTGGGAGCGCGGAACAACCACGGAACACTTCCACGAAAAGAGCTGAGTTTCATCATCTTCAGAACCTATTTGGAACCTCGCTGGTAGGACATGGTAGGACGCGCTCGTTTTGCACCACCGCGTGCTCGTTTCGCTTTGCCGCGCTCGGGCCGGGTCGGGGCGGAACCGGGGATGAAGGAACGGGAGGAGAAATCCATGCAAGGTGGTGACCAAGCTTACCCTAAGACAGATTGGATCAGCCAGTTCAAAGACATTCTTGGAGGGATTCTTGGCTCTATGTCATTGGCGGACAAAGAGGTGGGCAAACTCCTAGAACATCTCACTCATTCAACAGAATCATCACGAGTTAAAGGAGAAACATGGAGAAACATCCTGCCCTGCACCTGTGAGATGAAAAACCTCGCTTGGGAGTTGGGAGGTGCGGCGCTTTGTTCCATTTGACGCTTGAATGGAACGTCTCGCTACCGGGATGACTGACGCTTTCGCGTGGCAGCCACGGGCGCAGAAGACCCGACCGTGACGCCGCAGGAGCTGGAAAGTGTCAGCAAAGAGCTGATCCCCAAGACGACGGAGCCGCTTTGGCCACAGCATCCATGTCATGTGACGCAACTTGGCATACATTGGCCCGAAAGGAGCCCTATGATATTTGGAGAACTTTGGATAACATTTTTTGTGATGCGTTTATAAAGGTCATATTAACCATGGATCGTTTGGGAATGAGTGTTTGCTTATTTTCTTGCAGAACGAAGTTAATGTGACATGTTGTTGTTATGTTTGTGTTGTGTTTTTGTCCTGGCCCTCTTAAACGATGTGTATTGATGCGACTACTACTACTACTACTACTGCTACTACTACTACTACTACTACTACTACTACTACTAGTGCTACTGCTACTGCTACTGCTACTGCTACTGCAGAAGATGAACGACGGGAGTATGGTATCGGATGAACTTCGTCCGTGCCCTCTTTATCCGTGCAAGGTGAGCGCTGTGGGGCGTGCTGCGGGACGGCCCCCGCGGGAGCGCCGTGCGAGGGGCCGCCGGGGTTCGCCTCGTGAGGTCCTGCGTAGCGACGGGGGGGGTCGTCCCGTGATGATGACGACTGTGGTGATCGGCGGGTCAATGGTGACCTGACGAACTGAAGGGAAGTTTGGGATGTGATTACAGAGTGATGGGATTTGGGCAAGGAGTTCAGTACTTTGGAGGTAGATATATATATATATGTATGTATGGCACATGCGATGTGATTGAGGAGAGCGATATTTTGCAGGATGTAGATGAGAGGAACTTCAGATTTGCAGGGACGGCAATCAGCGTAACATTGGGCTTTACAGGATAGAGAGCTGCTACCTTTCCCTCACGTAACGCCACGCTTCGTCTAGGGTTACCAGCATTGGCTGCTGAGGATGCAAGATATGCCGATGTTTTGGCGGAGGTCCCAGGTCTCGGCGTTGATTGGGGTCCGGAAGAGCGTCGATTCGGGCGTTTCTAGTAGCGATAGCTGCCCACGAAATAGCGATGGCCTCCAACCTCTCCAACCAAGTAGCGATGGCCTCCCTGGATATGGTGTGTTGGATTGGACAGGCGTGGGGCATGAGGTCCATTTGGGTGCTGGACCAGGAGCGAGGGTGATCCATGGGCACAGGGCTCTCCATCGATGTGCAGTTGTTGAGAGTGGCTGTTGAATGGCGGCCCTGTTGTAAGATGCTGTCGGACGGTTGGAGGGTTTTCGATCCGCAGTTCTACATGCTTGTTCAAGGTCGGACAAGCCTAAGCCCGCAGTGCACGTGCTTCCAGGTGCCCTCACTGTCGGAAAGAGCGCGAGAAGCATAGAGATGCATGGGTCCGGATCTCAAATTCCCGGCAGAGCGAGCATCGTGCTTTGTCGGAGTGTGACCAACCGCAAATGCACATATGATCCTAGAAGCAAGGACGCCACTAGGGGCTCCTGGCCTGACTACCAGGAGCCAGGACGCTACCAGGGGCTTCTGGCCATCCCAGCAGGAGCAAGGACGCTTCTAGGGGCTCCTGGCCTTACCACGAGAAGCAAGGATGCTACTAGGGGCTCCTGGCCTTACTACCAGGAGCAAGGACGCTACTAGGGGTTCCTGGCTTTACTACTAGGAGCAAGGATGCTACTATATAGGGGCTCCGGGCCGGACCAATCCTCCCGCGTTCGTTGGATTAGATGGTGCAGGTGAATTATGGCTGCAAGAACAATGTGCATGAAATGGGCGGAAGTGGCGGCAATGACGTGCTGCGGCCGACTCCTCAATCCGCTTGTAGGGTCCAGGGTGCCTTGTGTATGTGCGCAGAATAAGGAGTCCAGGGTCCTATTCCAAGAACCTCATACCGAGGCGAGGAAAACACAAGGAGATAGCAGTGGCTGCCAAGCTAAGTACTAGCGCTGGCCTCCAATCTAGGAAACAGAAGAGCATATTGTACTATGACATGTAAATACGTTAGACAGGTTTACACCGTAACACCTAGCAGCTTCTTGGTTCTACGGATGTTTTTTTTCTTAGGTATGTCGCTCCGCCAGCTGGAGTGATACAAGACCCCCCCAAAAATGGATCCGTGTTTGCCGAGGGTTGTGTTTGCTGAGTTATATTATAGTGTGTGTAATTTGGAAGCAAAAAGACATATGATGATCTACCTTGCAAGAGCAGTAGACTTAGGTGAGCAATGTGGGTTTGTTCATGTTTGCTGCATCCTGCACCGGGAAGTTGATACTCTCACGTGAAAAAGGGTGCTGGGTGAGGACGTTAGCCTGACTCTTGCGGTCTCTCAGTTGGTACAGGCTTATTCTTGCAGATCCAAAAGGGTGCTACATGTCCAAATGGTTCGTAAACTGTCGGAACGCCCGATTTGCCTAACGACTCATGCGGCATTGGCAAACGGCAGGCGTTTGTGAGTCTCAGGCACCAGGTTTGTGTCACTGCGAGCCATGTTGCACTTGTCGAAGCTGGCCTCGGGCTCCGGCGACAGCGCAGCACAGGTTGCATTCGCGCAATCAGATGAGACAGTTCTGAGGGCAGCTTTGACAGAGGACGAGGGAGTAGGGGTGTCAGGGGGCGGTGTCAAAAGGAGGTCGGGTGGGGGAGCGAGAGCGGCCGCGAAGAGGAGCGAAGCAAGAGCGGCAGTTGTCGCATGTGCAGGAGCTGGGCCTCGATGTGCCACTCAGTCGAGATTCTCAGGGCAACTTTCGCGTGGATTTGAGCGGCTTTGAGGGAGGAGAGAGTACGACAGTGCGCAAAGCATTGGAGCGTTCCTTCGAAGTCGTAGAGGCACAGGGGGAAAGCATTTCTGTCTTTGACTTAGTCAGGAAGGAAATGTGTAGGCGAGGTAGGCGTAAGCTGGACAGGAGTGAGACATGAGTGCAAGTGGTGTGCAGGTGCCGGTGGCCAGCAGTGGTGCAAAGGTGGCCTCGCAGACTTGCGGTGTTCATGAAGGCATGCTGGTCTTGAAGACGCCGCGTTGGTTCGCCAGTCGCGCAGCGGCACGGTCGTATCTACAAAGCTATGTGTGGCTCGGCTCCTGAGGGTGAGTATTGCAGGGACAGGGGCTCCCACAGCACTTGGTTGGTCAGGCTGAACACGTCACAGTGCTCGCCGGACCCTGCCATATTTTGGCGCGGGGACCGTGAACGCGTCGAAGGCCTCCGCGAATGTGCCCGGGGCAGGTCGAGGGAAGAACCTCAGCCAATGTGGGTACAAGCGCGCATGATGGGTCCAGCGGTCCCAATCCCCATTGTTAGTACTGCGGGAGGTCCAGGTGAAGGGTGGCCGCATGGTGGGGCAACAGGGTGGTTGTTTTTTTTTGCGGAGGTCAGCATGAAATCGAGGTGACGACGTCTTTCAGAATGAAGGGAAGTCAGGGAGATATCGGATTGTATGGGAGTATCAGAGGGGCCTGACGGGATCACAGAGCCGTTGTGTTGGAGACGTGATTGTGGAGCTGAGGCCTGCTGGTGCTAAATTGCAGTTAGTGGTGCCACTTCGTGATGGCATCCGCTTTGACGTGCGCTGCACCGCAGAAGAGTGGAAAGCGTTTACAGCGGAGGTGAGCGTGGTGGGGGCTCTACGTTCGGTGGAAGCAGGAGAGAAAGAGCGTGAGGTTGCGGTGGGGGCCCAAGGGAGAGCGACCGGCACAAAGTTTGTTGACGAGACATGACATAGGTGCTCAGCCTTCTGGCAGCTTCCAGCCCGAATTGCAAAATCGATGTGAGAAGACTTGTATTTCTCTTTTTGGAGGGATCTGGGATAACAGTATACTCAGTAAACTGGGTGGCTGCTTGGGAATGGATGTATGATGACGTACGTGTACAACACTAGAGTAAAGTCAAGACTGCTTGGATAGTGCAAAGCACCTATCAGATATAGCAGGATTCATCAACAGCATCAGCAGTTGGACCTTTTCCGCCTGCAGGTTCGAGCGGAGACGAAGAAGCGCGCGGAGCAGGTCATTGCAGGGCAAGCACTGGCTGCGGAGCTGCTGGCGGAGTATGGAGAAGGAGGACGTAGCAGCAAGAAGCGTCGATTGTGCTTGCATTTGGCGGAAGTCGTGGCAACGAGTGTCGTGGTGGCAAGTTGAGAGAGAATTGTAGGGAGTGATGGTGGAAAAAGGGCTTTGTGCACCTTAGTGTCGTGCTAGCGGTTGCCAGCAGAACAATGCAGCTCCGTCATGGGACTGAGGCACTCGAGTGGCTGCGTCGCGTTTGCAGGATGCAAAGAGGTCTGTTCTGGACGAGGAAGAGGAAGAAGGCTGACCGTCTGAGCATCGAAGCGGCTCGCAAGGAATGTACAGATTGTAGGGTCTGCCAGGGACTGGAGATGCTGGGTGCACTATGTCCAAATGAGATGGGACTTGTAAAATGTATGTCGTTAGCCAGCAGCCCTATCGCATCAGTGTACAACCATGTTTGTAGAACTTCCACAAAGTCCATCTCATCAGGGAAAGCAAGAAAAGGATGCAAAGCGAGAATGACCAGAAATCACTGCAGGTGATCGGACAAGAACAAAGCGCACGTGTTTTTTCTAGCTGCTATATGCAAGGTTTGATGCAGTGCTTTGTTCACAATACTTGCGGTAAATATTTAAGGGCTGCCGCCCCTGCCGCCGACCCCGGGACTCATCAAGGAGGAGGAGTACTGCAGCTTGCACTCGCCAAAAAGCTATGGTTCAGGTGACTTTCCTTCATGCACCATGGAAGTGAACCTGTTTGTAGACGATGGTCCTCTAAATCCATGTTGGCCATGCCACCCACTTCCAGGATTGTTTCAGGGACAGCAGCCAGTCCAAAAAAGGCTGCGACATCTCAGACTTGAGAATTGCAGGCTTCGGTCACAGTGCAAGTGCATATAGCAACATGATGCAACATGCAGGAGTGGCAGCCAGACCAGTGGCAAACGGATAGATTTGCGCGGATTTGCAGATTGAGGGCACTATCAAAAACATTCAACCACTACTTATACATACACTCCTGCACGAATCTTTAGGTTCAGGATGTTGCAGGTGTGTTTGTGTAGATAGGAGCCCATATAGGCCATATAAGAATAAACCAAGCATATATGATATGACTCCAATCCAGTTTGGCGAATCATGGGAATCCTAGTCCAGTCCAAGTGGTGGATCATGTCCAGAAGCAATGCCTTCAGGCGGCTTCACTTGTTTCACGCCTCAAAGACGGCGCCCCTCTTGGACGTTTGGGACCTAGATTCAAAGAGTTAAGAGGCACGTTCGCATCCTCAACCTCCACACCGGCTCTTTCCACCGCCCGGTTCCAAGAACTCCAGTCTGGTGGGCCCATGTCTGCGACTTTGCGAGCTGGTGTGCATTGTATGTACCAGCATGTATAGTTCTTTGCGCATTGGTGCTGCCCAGTTGGATCCTCATCCAATGGGTTTTAGTGATGTCTAATTTCGGATGCAGCATTCATTGCCGAGATTTGCCAAGCCCATATGGCCATGGGATATAAAGTTTAACAAGAATGTAGAACCTCACTGGAGTGACCAGGAGACTTCCCCAGTTACTGAAACGACTCGGTGGCTCGTGGAGAAAGGACAGAAAAACATACAGCGCCCCAACAAATTGAAGCGATGAAGCGGATGAAGAGAGGACCGGTAAGCAACATTCTGCACATGGGCCACTTGGAGAAGACCAGTGCGCAACTGGGTCGGCTATTTTACAGCTTTCGCCATGGCCTGTGTGGCGACTTTGAATGGCTTCTTCCGAGAGAAAGTGCCTTGGCCTTGCATCGAAAAGGGACATAGATTTGGGAGAGCCCGCAACCAGCGAGTGTTAGTCTATTCGTCCTTTTCCCGAGTTCTTTGGTAGGTCTTCCTGCTTTTTTTGCGTAGGTAGCCATAATGGCCTCTTTGCTCATTGCGACATGGCACGGCTGTAGGCTGTTTGTTTTTATAAGCCTTTGATCCGGGAGATACACACGCGTTTGTTTGATCCCTCCCCACATCCATCGCTCTTCACGCATCTTGACCATGTCATGCGTCGATCTTCACCACGGGGAGCGCGTCTACATGGACCCTCATCGACCACATGATGCACGTCTTTTTGACGGTGTACAGTCTACAGTGTACAGCAAAAGGTGGCAACTATAGGCCAATCCCAGAGATGTGGATCGCAGGGTTATCCTGATGATCAGAGATCGGGGGGTTATCCTGATGATCGTCGGGATATCCCCATGATTGCTGGGATCCCCATGGTTTCAATCATTGCAAAGCACGGATTTTGGGTAATTCTGAGTTGGGTGGAGATTGCTCGAAGGTTAAACATATATATGTGGGGATCACTCGATTTTAACTTTTTGGTGGGGATCAGCCCGAAGTAATAGTTTGTGAATTGTTGCTTGTGTGTGCTTGTTTGAAATTGCACCTTTTGGCATGAGTGCTTATGTTGAGAATTGACCTGCAGCTGTGTTCCGCAGCCATTTTGTGGTGGGTAAACATGCGTCCTGCGGTGCTTGCTAGAACCTCAGTTGACTTTGGATAGTCCAAGCACTCATGTCACGTTGAGTCACACAGGCGCTTTGCGATTGACAACTCTGGTTGGACCGCAGCCAATTTTGCACAAACCATATGTGGTGATGGAGAAGAATGAGGTTGGGCGTAGTGTGTGTGTGTTGTTGTTTTCCCTTTTTGCTGTCCTTGGCCAGGTGTCAGTATGGATTGGGAGCCCACGAGCCAATAGCAAAGCTAAGGAATTTTTGGGAATGTTGAGTTTTTGTGTGTCTCAGGGTCTTGTTCTTGAGTTGTTGCTTCACAGACTGGGTTTGTTTCAGGAGAAAGGGGCCAAGGCGAAGACCAGACCGGCCACACCTGTAAGGGTAGAGAAAGGTCAAAAAGATGAAGAGCCTGTGAAGGCTGCTTGGGACCCAGTTCGCGCCACTTTGGCGAAGAAGATGCGAAGACTGAAGCGGGATCAGGACCTTTTGTTGGAACCGTGAAACCTTGAATTAAATGTGTTGTTGTGTTGGTAGGTTTGCAGGGGAAATCAAATTCAAGTTGGCCTTCATGTATTTGTGTAGGAGCATTTGGAGCGTGCAGAACGGGAGCGCAAACCCAAACCCATGCCGCGGCCTCCACCTCCCAGTCCTTGTAAATATTTGTCTGTCAGGTGTGGACTGTCATGTGTGCAGTATGTGGTTGATGGTTTGCTCTGGCAGGTGCAGTGATGGCACTGTTCGAAAAGTGCTTGCCCCCCCGCCTCCACCACCAACAGAGTTTAGGCTTGGAGACAAAGCATTATGTTTTTGCGTGGCTCTGCTGTTGAGTTGGCAGGTCTTTTTCTGTCAAGAGGTACCACGGGTCTCAACCTCATTGTGCACGGGTTTGTCAAACAAATGGTGTGTTTCTTTTTTGTGTTTGGATGCTTAGGCCTTGGGAGCCCAAGCCGCCCTCGATGTACAGGAGCAGATCAAGGTCTGCACACTGATCGAGGCGCAGCAGAATGGGTGTGTAACCAGTTTACTGGATAAACAGAGTTTGAGGAGAACTTGCAGAAGTGTGCAGAGTCAAGCTGCAGTGTTATGCTTAGTTGCCTTGGCCGCGTAAATTGTTTTTTGCCTTCAATGGACTCAGGCCTGGTGCGTGAGCGAACTTCTACAGAGCTTGCAGAAACTGTCACACTTGTGTGCGCATGTCGTGTGAAACTTGCATATGCAGAATGTGTTCAATTTGAGTTGCCCATTTCATATTGCATCACTGGTGAGCACTAAGGTCTGTTTATGGCTTCGCAACCTTTAGACTTGGAGGCTGGTTTCCTGATGCAGTTGAAATCCAAACTTGGCCTAAATACGTGTCTTGTTTTTGTTTGTGCAGGTTGGGAGTGAGCTTCCTCTGTGAGATAAAGGCTTGAGGTGCGCATAACTGTTAGCGCTTTGAGTGAGCAATGACCCGTTAGTTGGATGAATGGCAGGAAGACAGCTTCAGGCCACATGCGCTGACTTCTCAGGATGTTGCACTTGTTCTGTTTGAGCTTTGCTTTGGCGTGTTCTGCTTTGAGTCAGTTTGTGGGATGCGTTCTCGATCCTGTGCTTGGTCCTAGGCCCTGTGTGGAGCCTTTCTCATGCCGTACAGATGGTGGCAATATTCTTCAAGATGCGCCCTTTGCTTCAATTTGCTGGCTTGTTGCATGTTGTGTGTTGATTGGTGGCTTCACCATGCAAAGTGACTGGGTAGCTGTCTGCTGGCCCAATCTTGAAAGTTTGCGCTGGTATAGTGCTGCTGATGGTGCGCGGTCTGCTGGTGCTCGAGAATCGGCCAACACTGCCTGATGACTACGCAAAGGCCTTTGCGCAGGAAGAACGCCTCAAACAGGCCTAGATGGTGGCTGCGTGTTGTTGACTTGGTAGCTGCTTCAATAGGTATGGGTTTGCAGTGCTTTTTTGAATGTATACACCACATTTGGACATGCCTGGGTGTTTGTCAGGTTGGCTTCTCATTTGTCTCTGCCCACAGTGAAAAGCTCTTTGCGCAGAAGGTAGACTGTACAATGGAAGATGTGAATCTGAATGTTGAGGCGGGTGTGTTTGTTGAAGTGTCCGAGGCTGTGAATTTGTGACACATGTGATGTGTGAGTATTCTGCACACATTCTTGCGGACAGGT